AACAAATAAATTGAAAACAAAAATTCCGGCTTTGTTAGGTTGTAGCGCTGATATTTACCTTCATTTTAAAACCTTCCCGAGCTTTCTAACATTTAAAATGGCGGAGAAATCTTTGACGCACAATCAGATAAAACAAAAAAAACAGTTTCGAGAAAAACGCAAAACAAGTTTCTCCTTTGATTATCGCGGTTTTTTTTGGAAAGTGGTACAGAGAAAAGTCTGAGAGCAGTTCGTCGTAGGTTATCGCCTATGGCGAATCGAATGAGCATATGTAGAGACATGTGCGACGTACTTTTTCCCATATGTAAGCGTTATTCCTACGGAAAAACCATAAAAAATCAATCAGTTTTTGATGCTGGCTGCCTCAGAAAAACCGCTGTAAAACCCTCAAAAACCGTCGTAAAACCAATAAATCATAGTGCATTCGAAAGCAGATATATTGGGCTATACAACTATGCATAAATGTCCAAATCGATTTTTTTGTCGAAAAATGCTTTTTTTGAGGAGTGGGAGGCCCTTAAGCAAGTAAGGTTTTTCTGAACATGTGGATTTGTAGGGCAAACTTTTCTGATCAAAATAAGATGTTGCACAATCCTGTGTGATCTTGAGTTAAAAAATTACAAGCATTTTTCTACATGTCCTAAAACAGACCAACGAATGCACAGCGTTTTCTCTCAAAACACGTTTTCTGTTCGAACATGTCCAGTGCGGAGCACTTTTTTTAAATATACTTCAAGCTAGAAGCCTCGGGATGGTTTTATTTTAAACTAGACACCTAACTGCGTGGGCTAATGGGCCCAGACTTTTGAATTAGGCCTTAGTTTTCTAGAAAATCAAGGATCCCTGGAAAATCCAAACAGATTTTTTCTAGGTTTTTGAGGATCTTGGATCTCTAGAAACCAACGAAGACCTAAATCAAAAATCTGATCCCATCAGCCCACCTGCTTAGGTGTCTAGTTTAAAGTAAAATCAATCTCTAGCTTGAAGTATATTTGAAAAAGGGCCCCGGAATGGAGGTGGATTTTTGACCTTGGACTATGGAAAACCCCGGAACTGTAAGGAGTACCGAGGAAAAAAATTTCATAACCACACTTTGATATGACAAACATTTGCTGAAACTGGCATCAAAATAGGATGTAAGACAAAAAAGTTTTTTTCTGAGGGGGCCGTTAATGAAAACTGTAGTATAGGAAATTGTTAGTAGGATCAAGAACGCTTTTCACGTTTGAGCATCCAGCGTAGTCTCTATCGTCGATTGTACCTTGATGTCCGCCAAGAGTGGACAGGTACCCAGCGCGTCTCTAATGAAGTTCTACTACTAGAACTATGTACGATACATACGTCTGACACTTTCTCAATAGAAGCAGAGAGTCTGTCAGAAATTTGCTATAGACCAGAGTTTCGAGTTCAAATATTCTCTTTCAACATCTGCACCATTTGATCTGTTCAGACGACTTAATAAGGTCAAACGATTTATCATGAAATCAAAATTATCTGATCAACGATTATCATTGGAGCAAATCCATCTAACATCATTATCCTGTCATCTGTATCGCATTCATGAAAGTTTCTACATGAGCATTCATAAGGATGATTGCCACTCATTCGATCTTATTAAACTTATGTACACTACGATTCTTAACCATTTAGCCGATTGTGAATTTCATAAACTTGATCGAAATCATTTCATATTCTTCTTCAAATTCAAATCTTCAAATGATATTAGACATATCAGTGAATTCAAGCATGAAGATTTCGTAGGTAGAAATTTTCAATATGTTGGTCAATTTCAGCAGAAAACGTCGAAAAAATTTATTATAATGGAAATAATGGCTCAGTTAGTGAATATCACAATGGAAATGAGGAAGAAAAAATTAAGACCATTTAATTTCTATTTAGGTATGCCAACGTACGATCTATTAATCTTGAAAGGAAATTTCGATCAACATTGCTTAATCTAATTTTATTTTATTTATTTAGAGAATTTGTTTGTCAAACCATTTGATTCTACTGTCATTTATCCAATTTTCGATCATATTATTAACACCAAAGAAAGTCCTCCATCAAATGATTTAGAATCAACCATGGATCGTCGTTCTCAAATGCAAAGATTTGTTATCAATGGTCTATATCCATCGGACGAACTATTGAAAACACATGATAATCAATCAATAAAAGATTTTCAATCTCCATCATTTCTCTCAAAACTGTATAACAAAGCAAAATCTGCTTTTAGCACAGTAGTATTTAAAAAACCATCGGATCCATTCCTTCATCTTATAGAAAAACGTCAAAAATCAAAGCAGAATTATTCTAGTTGGTATTTATCATTGAAAAAAAAAGCAAAAAGGTTTAAAAAATATAATTGCAAATATGCTAAAACAATGAATACTGGTGTATGGTCGACACGTTATTCGGAAAAAGGTCTTGTACATAATTTGTGTGTCATCTACTATCAATTGAATATGAATGGACAAGCCCCATTTTACGCTGGTGAAAATAAAATGAGACAGCGATTGTTAGATGTTTATCATAGAAAATACAATTTTAAAAAACGATGTCCAGTGGAAGACCTTGATATGCTAGTAAACTTTTTCAAAAATTGAATAAAAACTCATTGCATAATAAGAGAACATATTGTTGATATCTGTTGCATGAAAACATGCTTTTTCTATTTGGAAGTCGTAGGATTCTGATAGCAGTCAAGGAACAATTTGGCGATGACCAGTTGCACTGGTGAGTTTTTGTATAATTCAGCATCTATACATTAATCTTATTTAAGGGCATAGTTTTTTTTTAGTGAAAGCAGACGATAAAGATCGTTTGACTCTTTGAAACATAGCGTCAACATCCTGGAGAACCAAAGTTGAATAGAAAGGTGAACAACGAATAGTCTGCTAATAAGTGCATATAATGTAGGTCTATTCCAGGCAAATAAGTTACATTACGTAAACTAACAGAAAAAGAAAGATATTACTCTCTCATTAATAATATAACAAACGAGACGCAAGAAATAATGACTAACGAGTGAACTATCTCAAGTGTTCAATCGCTTTTCCCTTAAAACACACACGATTGTGGATAATCCTTGGTGCTGATCACGAATCTGATATCCGTTTCGACCGCCAGGCCTTTCTGGGGTGGGTCGCTGGAGTCCGGGTGTTCAAGGACCCACTATGAACTTCCAGCTAGAAACATTCTGACACTGACAGACTGTAGAGCGCGTTCAACTACCTATACAGGATGTTCAGAACCAACGAACAAATTTTCATATAGATAGAAAAATTTTACTTTCTCATCCAGTAGGGAACCAAAATATTTCAGGTTTTTGAACTCTAAAATTTTTCTATCTCTGCGAAAACTTGTTCGTTGATTCTGAACTTTTCCCATATAAATAATTCAATGTGCTCTACAATCTGACAGTGTCAGAATGTGTTTAGCTGAAATTTCATGGTGACTCTTTGGACACCCGGATTCTAGAGACCCACTCCAAAAGGCCTAGCGGCTGAAACGGATATCAGATTCGGGATCAACACCAACGATTATCTACAATCGTGTGTGTTTTAAGGAAAAAGCGACTGAACACCTGGGAAGCTTCAGCTGTGTATTCTGAGCATATGCAGATAGAATAAAAAGAACCCTGTTGGCTTTAATAGGAAAGAAAGCTCTTATTTTGCGTCTCTGTTCTTTCTGGATGTCCAGGAGACGCTGCAATATCTCATTTCAAATGAAAAAATCAAAAAAAGCCCAGGTAAAAAAAAATCAGTATTGCGGTATTGATACCGATACCGGCATACGGTATACACCAGTATGTTCATACTAGGTATGTAGCATTAGCATACCTAGTATGCACATGGCCTATGAATGGAAAAAAATAGACGACTGACCATTCAGGCATATCATATGAGACTTTCTGTCTGTGTGAATGAGAGAAGTATAAATGCGTATTTTCCTCTGTAAAAGATTTATTTTTTAATTATAAAAGAAACAAGCAGCACGTACTCAGTAATATTTGTAGATTTTGTCCAGGTATTCGCGTTGTCAAGTGCTTTTCATTTTCTGTGCCCCTTATCTCGGCAAGAAAGCAATACTTATGGATGAAAAATTTGAGTCTGATTGGGCAAGCGGATAAAAAGTTATAGTAAAAACAGAGGCCGTTAGGGAATTCTAAAATCTCTTTTTTGAGTATTCCAGTAAAATGTAAATATTGCACCTCAGATTACTTCTGAAATGATCGCCTAGTTATGAAAGAAAGCTTACAATATGGGCTGTTTGGAGCACTATAGACTTTCCTTGAATGAGTTTTCTGATAAAGAAAATTGAAAAAAAGTGACCGTTACAGAATTTCATCATTTCTTTTTCCTGTTCTTTGCAGATGGTTTAGAGTATATGTTGTCTGTCTGTCACAAACTTACTTGCCGAGCTTTGATTTATACATAAACAGATAGTTCGAAGTGTCATTTAACCAAGGAGAAAATAGCGGACTTCTGAACTCCTGAACTTCTGGACTCCCATGGACTCCTGAAGTCCAGGAGTCCAAGAGCAAAAGTGTTCATTTTTGGGAATCACTTCCCAAAAAAGAACACTTTTGCTCTTGGATTTCTGAACTTCTGGACTTCAGGAGTCCAAGAGTCAGCTATTTCCCCCTTGCATTTATCCCATGCAATCAAACATTAAGTTTCGAAATTAGTTTAAATGGACATAAATTGCTCACAAAATAAGAGCCAAAACTTTTTCTTAGAAAATCTAAAAACATTATTAGCATACAAACGTGACAAAAATGAATTTATGAATTTTTTTAATTTTTTCAGCAAGTTATTTTGTATTAATTCATTTTCTTTTTTATTTTAATAACCCCCCCCCCCCCCCAAAAAAAAACAACCGCGGGCGAGACAAGG